GAGGGCACGAAAGGTGGAGGAGGGCTGGGGGGGTGGGGTAAAAGAATTAATCGTTTAAATTAACTTAATTGTGGTGGGAGGTGAGTACAGACAGGCACAATTTAATTGTGGGGGGACTCAGCCAAGCCATAAACCAATTAAATCATTTAAATCCTACGGTCTAATTAAATTATTTAATTGAGGCGTCGGATTTAAATAATTTAATTGGCTCTGTGCCTGTCTGTACTCACCTCCCACCACAATTAAATTAATTTAAACGATTTAAACGATTTAAACGATTTAAACGATTTAATTGGGTCCAATTAGATCGTTTAAATCCGACGCCTCAATTAAATAATTTAATTCGACCGTAGGATTTAAACGATTTAATTGGGTCCAATTAAATCGTTTAAATCCGACGCCTCAATTAAACAATTTAGTTGGACCGTAGGATTTAAACGATTTAGTTGGGCCCAATTAAATCGTTTAAATCGTTTAAATCGTTTAAATCGTTTAAATCGTTTAAATCGTTTAAATCGTTTAAATAAATTTAATTGTGGTGGGAGGTGAATACAGACAGGCACAGAGGCAATTAAATTATTTAAATCCGACGCCTCAATTAAATAATTTAATTAGACCGTAGGATTTAAATGATTTAATTGGTTTATGGCTTGGCTGAGTCCCCCCACAATTAAATTAATTTAAACGATTTAAACGATTTAAACGATTTAAACGATTTAATTGGGTCCAATTAAATCGTTTAAATCCGACGCCTCAATTAAACAATTTAATTCGACCGTAGGATTTAAACGATTTAATTGGGTCCAATTAAATCGTTTAAATCCGACGCCTCAATTAAATAATTTAATTGGACCGTAGGATTTAAACGATTTAATTGGGCCCAATTAAATCGTTTAAATCGTTTAAATCGTTTAAATCGTTTAAATTAATTTAATTGTGGTGGGAGGTGAGTACAGACAGGCACAGAGCCAATTAAATTATTTAAATCCGACGCCTCAATTAAATAATTTAATTAGACCGTAGGATTTAAATGATTTAATTGGTTTATGGCTTGGCTGAGTCCCCCCACAATTAAATTAATTTAAACGATTTAAACGATTTAAACGATTTAAACGATTTAATTGGGTCCAATTAAATCGTTTAAATCCGACGCCTCAATTAAATAATTTAATTCGACCGTAGGATTTAAACGATTTAATTGGGTCCAATTAAATCGTTTAAATCCGACGCCTCAATTAATAATTTAATTGGACCGTAGGATTTAAACGATTTAATTGGGCCCAATTAAATCGTTTAAATCGTTTAAATCGTTTAAATCGTTTAAATTAATTTAATTGTGGTGGGAGGTGAATACAGACAGGCACAGAGCCAATTAAATTATTTAAATCCGACGCCTCAATTAAATAATTTAATTAGACCGTAGGATTTACATGATTTAATTGGTTTATGGCTTGGCTGAGTCCCCCCACAATTAAATTAATTTAAACGATTTAAACGATTTAAACGATTTAAACGATTTAATTGTGTCCAATTAAATCGTTTAAATCCGACGCCTCAATTAAATAATTTAATTCGACCGTAGGATTTAAACGATTTAATTGGGTCCAATTAAATCGTTTAAATCCGACGCCTCAATTAAATAATTTAATTGGACCGTAGGATTTAAACGATTTAGTTGGGCCCAATTAAATCGTTTAAATCGTTTAAATCGTTTAAATCGTTTAAATCGTTTAAATTAATTTAATTGTGGTGGGAGGTGAATACAGACAGGCACAGAGCCAATTAAATTATTTAAATCCGACGCCTCAATTAAATAATTTAATTAGACCGTAGGATTTAAATGATTTAATTGGTTTATGGCTTGGCTGAGTCCCCCCACAATTAAATTAATTTAAACGATTTAAACGATTTAAACGATTTAAACGATTTAAACGATTTGATTGGGTCCAATTAAATCGTTTAAATCCGACGCCTCAATTAAATAATTTAATTCGACCGTAGGATTTAAACGATTTAATTGGGTCCAATTAAATCGTTTAAATCCGACGCCTCAATTAAATAATTTAATTGGACCGTAGGATTTAAACGATTTAATTGGGCCCAATTAAATCGTTTAAATCGTTTAAATCGTTTAAATTAATTTAATTGTGGTGGGAGGTGAGTACAGACAGGCACAGAGCCAATTAAATTATTTAAATCCGACGCCTCAATTAAATAATTTTATTAGACCGTAGGATTTAAATGATTTAATTGGTTTATGGCTTGGCTGAGTCCCCCCACAATTAAATTAATTTAAACGATTTAAACGATTTAAACGATTTAATTGGGTCCAATTAAATCGTTTAAATCCGACGCCTCAATTAAATAATTTAAATAGACCGTAGGATTTAAACGATTTAATTGGGTCCAATTAAATCGTTTAAATCCGACGCCTCAATTAAATAATTTAATTCGACCGTAGGATTTAAACAATTTAATTGGGCCCAATTAAATCGTTTAAATCCGACGCCTCAATTAAATAATTTAATTGGACCGTAGGATTTAAACGATTTAATTGGACCCAATTAAATCGTTTAAATCGTTTAAATCGTTTAAATCGTTTAAATTAATTTAATTGTGGTGGGAGGTGAGTATAGACAAGCACAGAGCCAATTAAATTAATTAAATCCGACGCCTTACTTATTCAAAAAAATAGGGCGTAGGATTTAAATAATTTAATTAAGCTCTCTCTATTTAAATAGTTTAATTTATTTAAATAAATTAAATTATTTTCTGCTTATTAAAAAAAAAGGAATGAGCTAAATAGACCCTAAAGGCTGCTCTTTCATATATATATATATTATATGAGTGAGAAACAAAAAATCATTAATGATGTGTATTTTGATCGGGCCGGGTATGGATCTGAACAGAGAACCTTAGCAGAAGCACGGGAGAAAGACAACACCATCACTATGGGCGATATCAATAAGTTTTTCAGGAAAAATGTTGAACAAAAGCGTAAGCTCGTAGGTTCAAACAGCTTTGTCGCTCCACATTCAGCCTACGAATATCAGATGGACTTATTCTTTATAAACGACTTGAGAGATCAAAAATTTAAGGTCGGAATGCTTATGATAGATATCTTTGATAAGTTCATGCATGTAGTGGCTATTAAAAGTAAACAAGAGGGCGATGTCGCAAGTGGGATGATTGAGTGCTTACACAAGATGGGAAAGAAGCCAAAAATAGTTTATTCAGATGACGAGGGTGCTTTGAACACAGAGTCCATACAAAAGTATTTGCAAGATCGAGGCATAGAACACCATAGAACGAGGGCGCACCCGAACTTCAGCGAGAGAGCTACTAGAACCTTTAAGGATTCACCATATCGCCGTGTTGAGGCGGATGAGAAGAAAAAAGCAAAGGACAATATTCAGTGGACAGATTATATTTTTGAAATATTAGTGACTTATAACAATAAAATGAAACATTCGGCTTCAGGATTCATCCCGAAAGATGCCAGACAACCGAGTAACGAATTGAAGGTGAAAATGAATTTGAGCGCTGGTGCTAAACGGAATCGCGTTTATCCTGATCTGAATGTTGGTGGTGAGGTTAAGATCTTCCGGAAACGGAAACCAAACGAAAAGGAAAGGATAAGCAACTGGTCGCAGGATATTTACACCATTGAGAGAATTGATAAGAAATTGGGTCAGAGCTATTATTATATTGAAGGCTTTGACAGATCATATTTGCGTTTTGAGTTACTGAAGGTTTGAGGGTTGATCCAAAAATCCGTAATCATGCTGATTATTTTGCATTGGATTGTGTTTTTGTGTTTTTATTGCTTTAAATTGTTTTTGTTGGTGTTTCCATACAGTATCTGGTGTATTTTTTCAGGAAAAAAAGAAAGCAATAAAACCAAACATATTTGTCTCAAGACTGTTTCTTGAAAATGTATTTTAAGCATTTTACGGCAAACGAATTCTGAAATCCAGAAACCCCGATCCATTTGCCGTAAAATTGCTGTTAGTAGCTATTTAAACCCTTGAGAGAAATACGAACCCAACCCAGAACAGAAGGCTTGGGTAAACACCAGCCACAAACATATAGAGGCACACACAAGTAACACAACCACAGGAAGAAGAAGCAGAAGAAGGAAACTCAACAACCCTGAAGAACAAAAAACAGAAAGACCCTGAAGGAGGCACGCCCACCCACCTACCGTCCAAAGAACCGACCCTCCCTGAAATCAAAGCCCTCCTTAAGTCAGCCCTCCCTTAACAACCCTTCCAAAACCCACCCCCTCCCACAAAGGGGCGAGTAGTCACAGTCTGTGGCGATCTCCTTCAGGGGGCGAGAGTGGCGGGGTTCGTTTCAGGTTAGGGTTTAGGGCTTAGGGTTTAGGGTTCAGGGTTAGGGCTTAGGGTTAGGGTTTGGGGTAAGGGTCTGGGTTTAGGATTAAGGCTTTAGAGTTTAGGGTTGAGAGTTTAGAGTTTCGGGCTTAGGGTTAACATAGGGTTTAGGGTCAGGGTGTCGGGCTAGGGTTGAATTGCAGAATGATTTCACTGAGCATTCTCGGCCTGGATGTTTGTGGCCCATTCTGGGAGCTGTATTCAGGGTACGTAGCCTTTAGCAAGTAGTTTCACGTATTGAGCTGTGCCACATGACTTAGGATAGCTTTGCAGTAACGAGGGGTAGCTCTGAAAAGCCTTGGGGTAGCTAGGAAATACCTCGTGGTCACAGCCCAAATTCTGTGGGCAAAAAGCTCACAAATTATCATCATGCAGTTTCACGTCCCCCCTCCCGAATCCTTGGGAAACGGAGACTCTGGGGCAGTGCCGGTGCGAAGCAGGCTGCTTTGGCCGAACAACTGGTGAAACCATCAGGCCCTTAGGAATGACTGGAAGCCCCAAGCGCCAGTCTGCATGATTCACGATCACGCTGGAGACAACATAGGCAACCCCACCAATGAAGGCAGTCTGCACGCTCAACATCACTCTCGAAGCCGAGACAGGCAGTCATGGATTGTGTACAGCCAAGTGCGCTTCTCGTGGCGGAAGAGGAGCATACGCGGAGGGCCAGCAAACGCTGAGGCAGTCACAGATCTGCATAACCAAACCCCCCACACACATCACAATGCACCAAAGTCCTGTTGTAAGGACGACAGCCATCTTGAACAGCACAAGGGACCAGCAGCTGGCGAGCAATGCCCCAGAGGGCTTTGTCCACTCATGCTCTTGTGTGAGCAACGCCAACCATGCGCCGGGTGATGCCAGAATCCAAAATGCTGCAGCAATTACACACATCAACGAGCACACATATCTTGGCACTATGTTCATCTTGGCCTTCGTCCTCTCCAATGCGTAGAAGTCCTGAAACAAGGGAGCTTCCTCGTAAGTGGTCAATATCCACGATCTGCTTTGTTCCGGCATAGTAATGAACAAGCTAATGCTGACACCTGCCAAAAGGTTGATTACAAAGCTCGGCGCTGATTCTAAGGGATCTGCCCGGAGCAGCGCATTGCACTGTATCACGGTAACTACAACGCTCTCAAACAACTCTGATGCTTTGTGGTCATGCAAACCGCGCGTTGCAAAGCCTTGGGCAAGGCTCTGAGCCATGACTTTAGCACCAGTGGTCTGGAGAAGGTCAAGCCTTTCAGCACTTGCCAGCGTCACGCCCAACATTGCTAGTGCCGCATAGAAGATCTGTCCGCATCTCAGGAAGGTAATGATGGACAGCGCATCCAGGGTTGGCTCCAAGGACAGGAGGACCGCTGAGAAGCACAGGTCCCATTCGGAGGCTTCGCGGTCCGAGCTGACTGAGATGCAGCAGAGAGGTGCCTTGCAGCGCCCTGTGGCGAAGGGCCCGTTCTGCTGGAGGCCGTCCTGCTTTGGACCAAGGCTGCAAAGCTCTTTGGGGGTGTCCTTCCAGGAGTAGACGAGCAACATGAAACTCGCAGAGCCATAAACGAACGCAGCCATGTAAGCGCACCCAGCAGAAGGCCAAAACCAAAGCCCAAACGAAGCCGTCTCCACTTTCCAGCACATGAAGATGGTGAATGTCTCGGCCCCACGAGTGGTGGCCAAAGTCCACCCAATGAAAGGGGCCACCAGAAAATATTCAATATGACTCCTGGGACCTATGCTCTCATGACACCATTGCTGGCATTCACCAGCTATGGATGCATTGGGCACAATGTCGGTGAGCAGTATGCGTGTGCAATCAAGTGGCGCCTCAGACATGTTGTGCAAAACTCTGGGATCCCAGGTGTGGCCAGTGCTAATGGAATCAAGGAGGACGGGAACAGGAATCAATATCATGACTAGATTCCAACTGAAGAGCAAGCACGCACATGTTGCGGCGCGACAACCGTGTCCGGCCATGTCGCCTGTTATCTCTTTGCACAGGCCAGCAAATCAAACCTGCTACTGCTGAGCCTGGACGAGCTGCGGGTCAGGCGACAATTGCGGTCGCTACAGTGGATTTGCAAACTTGAACATCTACACACGGCCGCTGCAAATTAACTCTCCTGGCCATTGATTTGAATCGCCGCAGATACTTGCAATGGCAGTTTGTCTTCACTCCCACAAGTCAGTCCTCGTCTGGTCGGGCACGAAGACATCGGGGTTGTGGCCGAGGAAAGCGTCCATTCGCAGGAAGCTACATCCAGGATTGCCACTCCCCCAAGGCCGCAAGTATGAAGTTGCGGGACTGAATAAGAATCCCCTTGCCCACTTAGGGTTGGGTCCGGTGGTTGGTGTTGGGGATTGAGGTTAGGGGGGTTTCGGGTAGTTGGTGTGGTGGGTGGTGGTAGGTGGTGGGACCTTGGGATGCCTAGGGTGGTGGGTTGGTGGTGGGTTGGTGGTGGTCTTGGGGTGGTCTTCAGGCATTTGGGTGGTGGGGTGGTGGGTGGGTGGTATCATACACCCAAACTGGGCGAAGGGGGTCCTAACTCAGTACAGGGTTTTGGGGTTTGGGGTTTGGGGTTTAGGGTTTAGGGTTTAGGGTCTAGGGTTTAGGGCTTCGGGGCTTTGGGTTTGGGTACAGGGTTTTGGGGTTTAGGGGTTTGGAGGTTTGGGGTTTAGGGTTCAGGGTTTCGGGATTTGGGGATTCAGGGTTTAGGGTTATTCAGGGGTTTAGGGTTTAGGGCAGCCTTTTGATTTTGTGAGGGTCATTTTTTTTCCGTTTTTGTTGTGGGATTAGGGTTTAGGGTCTGAAAACTCTAACTCAAACTCCCTAAGCCTGAGCTGCCAAATTTCAAGTCGCAAACAAAAATAACCTTTGAGCTTTACGGACGATCTTAGCGGCTGAAACCCTAGCCTCAAATAGGTTAACCTTTTATATATAGTAAGATTTTGTATAACCAAAAAAGGTTAAAGGCTCCCTACCCAGTCCCCAGGCAATGGAGGCCACCTAGCCAGCACCAAAGAAACCCGACAGTCATTCAACCCTGGCTTGGAATATACCTTGAGAGCCCCAAAGCCTGTTGAGGGTTTAGGGTTTAGCTACCTTGGGCTGTCCGGAGTGGCAGGTAAGCTGTGGCAAGTTGCAAGGGGGTTTAGGGTTTTTGGTTTAGGGGCCACCGTGCCACCTATCAGAAATTAGGCTGCTTATGGCCGAAGGACCGCCCCACAACCCTTAACGAACACTAAATTCGACACACTTTCGGACCAGGCCGCTTGAGGGAGAGGCAGATAGCCACAACACAGCCCAGGAGCATGGGCACACCTCAGCGCACGGCACTCTAGCAATAGGGTTTAGGTGGGTTTAGGGTTTGGGGTGTAGGGTGTCGGGTGTAGGGTTCAGGATTTAGGACCCCCTAAACAGTAGGGATGAGGGGTCAGCGTTCTGTCAGTTGCCAAGACTCTGCCATGAGTCCCACGGGAGGTCTGGGGAGGGGAGTTCCTGTGAGGTGGAACTTCGTTAAAGTAGGGTTTAGGGTTTAGGGTGTCGGGTGTAGGGTTTAGGGCCTAGGGTTTAACCCTAAACCCCACACATGAATCAGCACGCCTTGACGTGATTCCGGCACACCTAGGGACCTAGCGAATGCTTGGGGGGTGGGGGGGGGGGGGGGGGGGGGGGGGTGGTGGTGTTGATCTGAATCCTGGTCTTTAGGGTTTAGGGTTTAGGGTTTAGGGCTCCAGGTTCCAAACCCTTAAAGTGCACGGAACTCACATAGTACACCCGGAGCCCAAACAAAAAAGGGTGTAGGGTTTAGGGCTTAGGGCTTAGGGTTTAGGGTTTAGGGTTTAGGGTTTAGGGGCACCAAAGCCCCAAACCATAGGTGGGGTTTGGCACCAGAGCCCTGAAACCCAAAAGCCCAAAAAACGCCCCGAAGCCCTGCATTCCTAAACCCTAAACCCTAAACCCTAAACCCTCAACCCTCAACCCACAACCCTCAACCCTCAAGCCTCAACCCTCAACCCTAACCCAAAACCTGAAACCCTAAGCCCAAAACGCCCGTAAAGCCCTCAGAGAGCGAAGGCCCTGAAGTCCCAAGTTCAAGCCCTGACGCCCGGAACCCAAACCCCCTGTACCCCAAGGTGTGGGTTTATGCTTAGGGTTTAGGGTTTAGGGTTTGGGGTTTGGGGTTTGGGGTTTAGCGTTTAGGGTATAGGGTTTAGGGTTTAGGGGTTCGGGCTTAGGGCTTAGGGTTTAGGGTTTAGGGTTTAGGAATCAGGGAAACCTGAAACAGCGAGGCCGCCACCCTTAAACCTCAAACCCAGACCCCTCAACACCGTAAACCCTGAACCCTGAACCCTGAACCCTGAACCCTGAACCCTGAACCCTGAACCCTAAACCCTAAACCCTGAACCCTAACCCTAAACCCTAAACCCTAAACCCTAAACACACTGCAGAAAGGGGCCCAAGATGGGGCGCACTGCACACCAAGCGAGGCCTCGATGGGCAGAGCTTTCGAGCAACGAAGCTTCTGTTTTTTTTTCATGGGTTTAGGGTTTAGGGCTTAGGGCTTAGGGTTTAGGGTTTAGGGTTTAGGGTTGAGGATGTAGGGCTAACTACCCATACTACCCTCCTAGGTTCCCCCCCCCATATTTAGGGGTCGTTAAGCCGAATTAAGGTCATTTAAGCGGGGAATGCAATTTAGAGGGGGTAGTATAGGGAAACCCATGAGGTTTAGGGATAAGGGTTTACAGGGTGTAGGGTGTAGCGTTTAGGGTTTAGGGTTTACAGGGTTTAGGGTGTCGAGGAAGCTTAGGGCGGGACTGTTTGGGGAACTTAGGCTTCTCGAGACTTTTAGGGGGGCGGGGGGGGGGGGGGGGGGGGGGGGGGGGGGGGGGGCGGGCGTCTTATCCCCGAAAGGACACCCCTGCATGTACACTCACAGAGAATTATTTGTTTGTCAAAAACACCTTCTAGCCCTGCACCCTAAACCCTAAACACTAAACCCACAACAAAGAATCGCCTCCTCACCTAAGAGCAGACGCTGCTCGCGGTGTTTGTTTGCTTCAGATCCATGTCTATAATGTAGGGGCCTGAAAGATTAGAATATGGTTTTTGGGTTTTGTTATAGTATATCTATATAGGGACCATAAGGGAACACCTTCTTACTCCAACCCCTATAGTAAGCTTTAGGTGTTCAGGATTTAGGGCTCAGGGTTAAGATGTTGGGCTTTATGGGATCTAGGGGCTGTGGGCTTCGTGTCTATAGGATTCAGGACTTAGGGGCTTCAAGCTTGTGAAGGGCAGGGTCAGAGCACTCATCCCTGAACCCTAAGCCCTAAACCCTGAACCCGAAACCCTAAGCCCAGGCGGCTCATCACAAGCAAGGCAGATGGCAAGCCGATGCCCACCGAAACGCCAAAAATGGCCTTAGCCAGCGGTGGTTCTGGGCTTTTTGTTCGGAGAGGAAGGCAGGGGGTTTAGGGTTTAGGGTTTAGGGCTTCACCACAGCAAGACATCAGCCTCAGCACCACAATTCGCAGGACCGTGGCGCCCAGATAATTACAAACCCTTGTGTTGAAGCCAAATGCCTTTATTGGCTCCAACTTCGGAGTTGTCGACAAAGCTTCTGGGTTCTGTGGAAGGTCTAGGAGGACTTGTTGGTTTGCGTAACCCTAGGGATTAGGGTTAGGGTTTAGGGTTTAGGGTTTAGGGTTTAGGGTTTAGGGTTTAGGGTTTAGGGTTTAGGGGTAAGAGGCAGCCCCGAGCACTCTTCCCGTCTGAGCTGACACCAACATTCTCAAGGGACTAGACGAGGGACGCTTTTTAAGGGGCGTCGGGGGTTCTTTCGGGGTTGTTTAGGGGCTAGCTAGGTATATCGGGACTATATGAGGTATGTATATACATATACATATACATATACATATACATATACATATACATATACATATACATATACATATACATATACATATACATACAAACATATACATACATATATATATATATACATACATATATGTATGTATATATATATATATATGTATATAGAGGGGCTATATAGGGGAATAAGATTTCAGGATCCCTTCCAGGAGCCCTCCTTAGAAAGACAAGCCTAATCCCCCACGCGTGCTGCAGGCCTGCGCTTTTTGTCCCCCAAACTTTCCCGAAACTCGAACCCCCCAAAGTTGGGATGTTCCCCCCTCGCTATACTACAGTCCTTAAAAGGGTGGTTGTCAAAATTCTGGTCCCTTTTGGATCCCGATTATAATACGACACCTCATATTTAGGGTACCCCAAAAGGGATCATAATTTTGACAACCACCCAAATAGGGATTCTAATAGGGGTACTATAAATCAGCAGTCCTTCATAGGGAGAACATCCCAACCCTAGACCTTAAACCCGAACCCCAAACCCCTGAAATCCTGAACCCCTAGGGTTTCGAGACCCTGAAGCCTATAAACCCTATAAACCCTATAAACCCTAAACCCTAACCCCCAAACCCTAAGCCGTCCCGGTGGCGCAGCCCACGGCCATGGCGACGGCGTCGCCCAAGGTGTCAAGGAGCCAACCCAGCAAAGGAATGGCGCGGAACCTCTCCGTTTAGGGTTTAGGGTTTAGGGTTTCGGGTTTCGGGTTTAGGGTTTAGGCCTTACCGAAGCAGTCCTCCCCTCTGCCCAAGCCGTTAAGTAGAGTGCGTAGGGCTTAGGATGTAGGGTGCAGGGTGTAGGGCGTCATCCGGCCCATAAGAAGGGTCATAGCCTGGAGACTTAGAGGACCTAGCCATGTCCGGGTTGAGGGCTTAGGGGTCTAAAGGCGCTGAACCCTAAGCCCGAAGGCCCATAACATGAAACCCCTAAACCCTAAACCCTAAACCCTAAACCCTAAACCCTAAACCCTAAACCCTAAACCCTAAACCCTAAACCCTAAACCCTAAACCCTAAACCCTAAACCCTACCCTAGACCCTTCTTCTGTTTGGG